AATTGAGGAAGAGAGAGAAAGTAAATTATGAGGAAGAGAGAGAAAAAAGAAGAAGAGAGAAGAAATGAAATGTGTGACGTATGAATGAAATTGGTAACAAAGTTCTTTTCTATTTGTTGCCGCCATCCGCCGTTCACAATTTAATGTAAACCGGATTTTTTAAAACATTTGTGTTTGGATTATAAGGGTTATTTGGATCAAAATGAAAATTACTTTGAAAATTTGGAGAATTGGAAGATTGATTATTTGGATTATTTTGAGAGGAACCACTTCCGTAATTAGGATTATTAAGATCCATAATCACAAATTATTTTTATAATGAAAAAAAGAAGAGTGAAATTTTAAGGGTGAGAAACTATATCAATATTAGGCTCTATTTATAGATAAAATTATAATTATACCGTTGGTGAAATTATTTTTTGGAAATATGTTTAAATGAAGTGAGAAACTACCGTTGGAGCATTATAGCAATACTAACTGTTAAAAATTAATATAGCCGTTGCATTCTACAGCAAACATCAAACACAAATAGCAAACATCAAACACAACTTGCAATATTCATGACAAGTGTCATGTGATAATTGGACCTAAAAAAAATCAGATTCTTTGGTTTAGAAAGTCAGCAACTCACGCTCATACTCAGTGCCGCTTCAGACGTTGCTACCTCATACTGTGAGTAAGTAATGAGTCAGATATTTCAATGGTAAGCTAACTCAAAAAAAGTGAGAGATAGTTCTGAGGAGGGTACTGACTCACCGTTGTACATGCTCTAAACATTAGTCATCAAAAAGCTAAGGTTGGTTTCTATTTTTAATCTCATGTTATTGTCTTATTAAGAAATGACAACTATATATATCCTATATAACTATAATAGTATGTGGTTAGGTCATTTTGGCTTGTTACAACGATCAAATGTAGTATTAGTACGTGTACCGTGCATTGATCAAGTACATGTAATATAGGTGTGAAAGGATATGCTAATTATAGAGGATTAGGTACACATTAGCTCAATTCGTTGTTACATAGTGATGATCTTGAGCATAGATAATATGCCTATTATGAGAAAGTAACATTACATACTTATATCATTAAGCAAGTGATTTATTATTTTATTATTTATACTATTTTAGCTCGATTAAAATGGAAGATGCTGATATATTGAATTGGATGATTTCATTTTAATTCTAAATATACTACATAATACTCGTAACTTTATTTTCCTTCCCATCTACAACTTATAGTTAGTTGGATTTGGTACAACGATCCATCATTTAGTGTATTTTTTTTGTTGATAATTTCTAATTTGAATTTATGCATTGCACTATGTAAGCCTTATTATAACAATCAAAGTCATGTCAAACTAGAGCAATAATATATATATATATATATATATATATATATATATATATATATATATATATATATATATATATATATATATATATATATATATATATATATATATATATATATATATATATATATATATATATATTATGTATTGGAGTGGATATTAGGGGTGGCAAAAACTGATCCGACCCGAAAACCCGACCCGAACCCGACCTGAAAATAGCGGGTTTGGGTTGAGATTTTTGACCCGAAAACTTAAATGGGTTGACACGAACCTGACCCGAAATTAAATGGGTTAGGTTAAGGTTGAAAATTTCAACCCGAAAATGACCCACTTAACCCGAAAATTTAAAAAAAAAAAAAAAAAAAAGAAAAAAAAAAGAAGACTACTACCAACCCAAGCCCAAATCTTTAAGCATAAACCCTAACTCATTTTCACTCTCACAAGCCGTCACCTACATTTTCTCTTTCCTTCTTCTCCTTATCTTTCTTCACTCATTCTCCTCCTTCTATATCCCTCTTCATCCATTCTCTTCTCCTTATCTCTTCTCATTCGTTCTCTTCTCCTTCTCAATCTTCCTCTAGAATGCTTCAATTCATCCAGAAAATCCGAATTTAAACTTCTCTTCTCTGATTTTTGTGAATTTTGTTCTTTATATTCGAATAATCCTTAAAAGCTCCTATTTCTCTCTCTTCACGCGAGCAAGTCAACAATGTCACGTGAGTAAGCTAGCCACCGTCACTGTCACAGCAAGCCCGACCGACCACCATCACTGTCACCGTCTATTGTTGGGGTTTTTTTATACTTTAGATCTAGTTTAAATTTAGGTTAGATTGTAGATCTAGTTTTATTTTTCTCAAATTTCTGATTATAATTTTTTTTGATGAAATTATAATGTAAGTATATACATTTTGTTCCTGATAATCGCCTATTCTTCATCGATCTAGTTATTCTGATTTTTTACATATTTTTTTCTTGTTTTTTTTGTTTTTTTTTGCCGATTTGTTTGTATTGTTTTCTGGGTTTTTTGTTTGAATATTTTTCTGGGTTTTATGATTGATAGATCCAGAAGAATTCAAGGAATGTTGTGTATAATATGTTAAAAAAATTCGAACAGAAAAAAAAAACAAGTCGAATCAGGTTATTTTCGGGTTGACCCGAACCTGAAAATATCAGGTTCGGGTTGGGATTTTCAACCCGAAAACTTAAATGGATCAGGTTCGGGTTGGGGGTCACCTGACCCGAAATTAGGTGACCCGAACACGAACCCGACCCGACCTGATCCGTTTGCCACCCCTAGTGGATATAGAATATGAGTTTTACCTTTTATTACTGAGTTTGCAATAAATTAAAAATAAAATCATATACATTTAATTGAAATATATAACTTATATGGATAAAACCAAAAACAGCTAGTTTAATAGAAAATTAGAAATGGACCTCATAATAATTCATGTAATAATAAAAATATATTAAAATTAATTCCAACCGCTTGGACATAAAAATATACTCGTATATTACTACTTCTATGTATATTTTTTTTAAAAAAGAAGTATTTCGTATTAGATAAAATTCAATGTGAATCGAATTCGAAAATGTTGGATAATGTTGTTAATGATGCTTTCTTGTACTGTAATTATATCACATATTACAGTGCAAATTGATAAAAGCATCAAGTTACCCAATTTTCACTTCTGGTATGGAAACATAAATGATTGTTCCTCCAACAATGCAAGAGCCAAGAGCCACATCACACTAATCAAATTTGTACGTGAGATTCGCCTTTCGATGCATGGAGTATCTTCAATTACACTCTGATTTCGACATGCATTTTTTCTACTTTTTCATCAAATCTTAACACCATCGAATTCCATCCATAATGTAACGTACATACGTCAGAAATAAATGTTATTTAAATTCATAATGATACAATCATACAATGGCAATTATATTTAACTCATAAAGTTATAAAATTATCCAAATTATTAATTAGGTTCGTAGCAATAAGCATGCATCTCATCACAACTTACTAAATCATTAATACGAATGAAACCAATAATAAAGGTAAAGAACATATATAATCGAGGTAAAAATCGCACAAATCCTTTGATTCCTTTTAAAATAGGATCATGGTAGATTATTGATTGATACATTTGCATAAGAATGTGAGCGATTCCTTACACATACATTTGATTTTATTATAAAAGGATATTTGTGATCTTGTAGATATGTATGCATGTATGTACATTTTGTATATTGATAAGAATCTCTTAATATAATAGATACATGGATTTATAAAATATATGAGTGCGTGGTAATCTTATAGATGTCTATGCACATATGCTAAGATACAAGTATACAGTAATCATTTCATAGCAATTTTGTCATTAAATTATGGAAAGAAAAAAAAAAATTAAAATGATGAAGATTGGAAACATAAATTAAACCTTAAAAAGGAAATTTATTGTATTTGATTTTATTATCCTCTAGATATGACAAAAATCTTTTCTTTAATATTGTAATTCTTCTATTATAAATATATTAAGCAGCTATCTGATATTATTGAGGCATATAATAGAAAATCTCATGATGATTGCATATTTTGGTGCAATAAAAAAATCTCATGATTATAAAAGGGAAAGCAAATTGGATTGGAGATTTTGCATATATATTGGCAACGGTTCAAAAACATTACATTTTTAGATAATTAAATTAAATTAAATTAAATAATCATTTATTTATTTATTTTTTATTTAATTTTGGGGGTGGGGGGTTGATTTGCATGAGAATGTCTCTTAGAGTGGAATTTAAGCAAAGTACCAATTACGTAAATAAGCCACGTGTCATCCTAGCTGGAAATTCCAACCAACCTGTAAAAAATATTTCTACCAACATCCAACATAAAACTCCTCTCATTGGTTGGGTTGCTGCGGGCCTGTAATCTCTTTTGGGGAGAGGTTAAGGCAAAGATTCTAACATGGTAAATTTTAAAGCTAATATTCGGCTCAATTTTTAATAGTAATAATTTATACAGAGTAACTAGTAAATATAATACATAAGATTAACAAAAGTAAGCTGAGAAGAAAAGAGCCCTAACCTATCTACCTCTATGATTGTTTGGATTATACAATTATCAAAAGTTATACTCCATATCAGATCATATTTAGTTCCTTACTAGTACAACCGAAAGTATTAATTGTATTTAATTTTTAGATAGTGTTAACGGCTTAAAAGACGACAATATAAAAATGTTTGGTAAATGGGTTACTGTCTCCCCACACCTAACATAATATCAACCGTTAAAATTACAGTTATAATTATCACTTGAAAAGTGAAAGTTTTCATCGGTAGATAAAATAACAGTGTGTATCACGTGTAAATGACTAACAGTATATGATCCTACGAATCAGGATTATACTTACATTACCTAACTAAATACGCTTAAATGTATAATCATTGTTTATGTAGACGGATTAGTAATAACCTCAAGTTAGTTAAGCACAGGAGGTGATCTTCGCGGACCCCATACAATTTGCGTAGAGGCACAGTCGTGGCCCACGGCTAAGTAAAAAACCCGACCCTAAAAATTTTATGTCTTTTAAAAGTAGAAGAGAGACCATAAAATCATAAAATAAAAAATAAGTTACCATAATAAGAGGAGAGAGAAAGTAAGAAAATTGTGAATATAAATAGCAACTCTTTATAACAATTGAGAAACCGTGGTTTCCGCTCCTCCTTCCTCATTCCTCACAGTAGAGAGAGAAAATTTCACAAAACTTATTATTCTTCTCCTTCGTCTACCTCCAACCTCGGACACTCTATCTCTACTAACTATCCTCCTATTTTTCTGGGTTTCATTCTATCAACGACGTCGTTACGTCGTTTTAAGGAGAGAGATTATCATTATTTTTTGGTTATGGAGTGGCCTGCTTGTTTGAATGAATTCGAGAAGCTTCTTTTGCGCTTAGATACTCCCAGGTTTGTTCTTCTTCTTATCATCATTTTGTTTTTATATTTTCAGGAATTTATCAATCTATTTCTATTTTTTTTAGATATTAATTCTGGGAAATTTATCAATTTATTTTCAAAATGTTTTGTTTGATGATCATTTTTATTGTTATATTAAATTTTAGACTTTTTTGGTTGCTTCTTCTTTAAGATTTTCGGTTATTTTCCAGAAGCTCGCCATCTTTTAAAATTCTCCCAGAAAAAAAAAAAAAAAAAAGCGACCGGCCACCGACTTTTCCCGTTCACACCTTCAAAAAATTTTGAATTTCAAAGCTGTTATTAAAAAATAAATAAAATTAATTGTTAATTTTTTAATTTTCTGATAATCTAACCCTTAATGTGATTTTTTTTTTCTACAGAGTTGCAATTGACAATGCTGTTTGTCCTAATTCCACCCTTGTTAAGGTAATTACAATTAACCTGCTGTAGTTAAAATATTTTCTGGGTTTTTATTTAGTTAATTTTTTGATAATATATATTTATTTTAATTTTTTGATGATAATTAATTTGATTTAATTTAATTTTTGGTAGGTTGATAGTGCTAGAAAACATGGGATTCTATTAGAAGCTGTTCAAGTGATCACAGATCTTAATCTTTCCATTAAGAAAGCTTATATTTCTTCCGATGGCAGATGGTTCATGGATGGTGAGTAATTAAATTTATTTTTTTGAGGATTTTAAGATACCCATTTTCATTAATTTTTGTAATAAAAAACTTAACCCTGTTTTTAATTTTGTGTTCTGCAGTTTTCCATGTAACTGATCTTAACGGAAACAAATTGAAAGATGAAAGCGTTATTAGCTACATGGAACAGGTAATTAACTAATTTTTCGGTTTTTGTTGTTTGTATTGATTTAGTTGTCGCGTTACTAGTTTAAATTACACTAAGAACATGATTATTGATTCGGGATAGAGGGGTGATAGCTGATATGTTTCCTATTTTGGTTGTGTTGATTGACAGTCACTTGGTAGCATTCATTTTACGCGATCCTGCGAATACAAAGGCGTTACGGCTCTAGAATTAACAGGCACAGATAGAATAGGTCTGTTATCAGAGGTGTTTGCTGTATTGGCGGATTTGAATTGTACTGTAACGGATGCTAAAGTATGGACTCACAATGGAAGAATTGCTTCCCTTATCTATGTAAAAGACTGTGATTCCGGGTGCCAAATCGAGGATTCACACAGGATTAGGAGAATTGAGGCGAGGTTAAGGCCTGTTCTTAAAGGGGATAATGATATTAGGAGTGCTAAGACTACTGTTTCGATGGCTGTTACTCATACTGAGCGAAGACTTCATCAAATGATGTTTGATGATCGCGATTATGAGAGAACCCCGTCTACCAGCTCTATGAAACATGATTTCCCGGATGTTAGTGTCCAAAATTGGAACGAGAGAGGGTACTCGGTTGTGAATATTCAATGCAAAGATCGGCCTAAGATCTTGTTTGATGTTGTTTGTACATTGACAGATATGGAATATGTTGTTTTTCATGGCACAATCAATACTCAAGGGAGCCGAGCTTATCTGGTATATATTCGAGCACCTTCCGTGTTTTGTTTGATTGTAAAAGGATGATTTTCATCTGAGTCACTTGGCTAATATTGCTCTGTTTGTTTCTGTTTCAGGAATTTTACATTAGGCATACAGATGGTACTCCAATCAGCTCTGATGCTGAAAGGCAACGCGTTGTTCAGTGTTTACAAGCCTCCATTCGAAGGAGATCATCTCAGGTATAATCCTGATTCATTTCCCTACATCCATCTATGTGTATATATTCGTGTTTTTCTTTACCTAATCGAACTCTATCTACTTATCTTGTTTAGCCATTTTAGTCTAATTACATGATATTAGGATATTAGCTATCACTTTTAGGGCGTAACATTCATTTCACATGGTGTTTGTCACCTAATTGTTAGGCAACTCGTACAAATATCTTCATCTAATTTTATGAAATGACAGTTACTGATGTTATATATGTTCTGTTATTACAGGGTGTGAGACTAGAATTCTATGCAGAGGATCGTCCAAGTCTACTAGCAGATGTAACACGAACATTCCGAGAGAATGGTCTAAATGTTGCTAGAGCAGAGATCTCCACAACAGAGGATATGGCTCAAAACATCTTCTACGTAACAGATGCAGAAGGATACACTCCGGATTCAAAAACAGTCGACGCAGTCAGGGAAAAAATTGGGTTGAGTAACTTGAAGGTGAAGGAGTTGCCTCTAATCTATCATCAAAGTCCAGAGAGGGACGAGGCAGGAGCAGGCGTAGGCGGGGCGATGTTACTATCACTGGGGAGCTTAGTAAGGAAGAATCTATACAACCTGGGGCTCATCAGATCACATTCTTAAAGCCAACTCAAAGGCACATAAATTTATTGTATGGGAAAAGTGAAGAATGAAGAATGAAGTTCAGTGCATACCCATTACCTTTGGCATATACCTTGCTTCTGGTTTGGGCAAATTAGTCCCTACTTTGTACATAAAGGTGGAAATTAAATTAGTATTAATTAGAATTAGTAAGTACTATTTAGATCTAGGGGAAGATTTGGTTAGTAGTAAGTAGTTGGCAAAGGAAAACATGTTAGTGTGGGGGCCAGTGGACCAATTCAAAAGGGTAAGTATGTTGTTGAAAGGAGGAATTTTGAAAAAAAAAAAAAAAAAATTGGGGAAAAAAAAAGGGTGTGTTTGAAGAAATTAAGAATAGTTGGTCAAATTGCTTGAAATAGGGGGTAAGATTAGGTTTTTTAGAGGTGTAATTTGGTTTCATACATCAATATCTTTTGTACAGAAAAAATGCTTTGTTTAGTTCAATTGGTTGACCAGTTTATTCCGACAAATTGACTTCAATTCTGTCTTTCTTCTCTTTTTTTATTTTTTGATTTCAAAGTTTATGTTTTGTGTTTAATGGGACCTTGGAAGAGTATTATTAAAGTGGATTTTGCAATTATAAAATTGGATCATTGCTTAACTAGGCTAATGGTGGGGTTATATATAGTGGGGTGTGATTTATAAATCGAGACTTTGGGTTAACTACTTTAACTTATAGTCAATTCTAAAGAAATGGTATTTGCTTATTAAGACAAAGTTTTGTGAGCTCATTCTTTTCTTACGTATTGGATGAAATTTCGGTCAATTTCAAGGCTTTTGTGTTGATAGCTTTTGGGTTTCGGATGGGGTATTATGTTTGGCAAACTCTTGTACGGTCATGAGTGACGAATAGTGTACTTTGTTCATGAGCTACTTGAAATAAACTCAATGCTCGGTTGTGCTCAACTCAAGTTAAATCTTAAGACCTGCTTTGATTTATTGAACTGAATTGTTTACGAGAGAAGGAAATTAGGAACTGAACTGAAATTAAGCTAAAGAGAACATGTCCTTAATCAAGCAAAGTAATCCACAATATGAAGAGATCGAGTAGAAACACTAAGTAATACTACCTCCATTTCTTTTTATTTGACACGTATTTCTTTTTAGGAAGTTTTTTTTAGTTGACACGTTTCCTTTCGGGGTAAATTTTTTACCTTGCATTTTCATTCTCTCTCACTCTCTCTCCTATCCTAATATACGTGCCTAAATAAAACGTGTCAACTAAATAGAAATGGAGAGAATAATAAACATCACACCAAACTTTTGAATTTAACTCAACAAATTCGGGCATTAACTTATTACTTTTAGGGCCTGTTCTGATTAACTGAGCTGAACTGAACTAAACTTATTTGAGCTGAACTACATTGAACTGAATATTTTATGAGAGTAAGAAATTAAGATAAAAACTGAACTGAAAATAAGTTGAAGAGAATAGACCCTTATAATAAGCTACCTAACAAATGAGGCTAAGCTAGGCCTAACACTTTGAAATGGAGGCAATATCACCTATTCCTCTAAACCTTAAAATTATAGACATTTATGACTTTAGTAGACTTTCTAAAATAATTGCAGCACTTCCCAGTTTGACATCAAACATATACTATTCTATTGTTTTTTCCCTTTTCTAATAAACCCCACATGTACTACTAATACTAGTACTAATTATCATACTGAGTTGTTTTTCTCTCCAGTAAATAATCTCACTTCCATGTTAGACTTTCACTTTCATGTTAGACTTTCAGTTTCATGTAGTTTATCGATTTGTCCACTTAAAACTACACACAAATTTAAGTGTTGCGATTATTTAGAAACGGAGAAGGATAATCTTTGATTTGATATAATTAAGAAACTACGGTAACATTTCGGTATAATTAAAAAAAAAAATACTTAGCTATCGTTTTCAAAGAATTGCATTATATCATACATGAAAATTCAAAACTCATAGTGGCAACATTAGGGCGTAAACATAGACCTATTCATAAATTCATGGGACGTTGTCAATACTCAATAATATACATGAAAATGGTAACATTTCGCTTTTGTGTGTTGTTATTAACTTTGTCAAATAGACAAACACACCATCATGTTGTCGAATATGGTTGATACTAATTGGTATTGTTGCTTTCATTGATTGCGTGATCCAAACACCTTATTATAACTCTTTGTCTCTAACAATTGGATCATCTATCAATCTATCATTTTTATTTTTAATTGATTGCTAAGGTCATTACAATATAATCCATGCTTTAGGAGAAATTGTTGTCAAGAATTGATAATTCTGTCAATCAAAAGTTAGGAACACAAATTAATCTAATAAAATACATGTTTACTTATGGTAGCTTTCTATGAGTTTGGACTTTGTAATTTTGCCCCTAATCAGAAATAAAGAGGAATAGTACACTGCTTAACTTGTAAAATGAAAATTGTTTGAGATTTGTAAATCAACACAATAAGGGGCTTAAGGGCTGAAAATTTTCGCCCTTGAATACATATTGATAATTTTTTTTTTGTTTACTTACGTTATTAATATACCCCGGCCCGTATTTAATTTGTTTTGAAATTAAAGGTGTAGCAACATAAGTTAGACATAATTAGATCAATAATATGGATGTGAACAAAATTTGATCTCGTTTCATATCATCTCACAAGACTTTAATTAACTTCCATGAGTCACGACATATCAATCCTTAGTACTCCGTATTTACTTTTTCCAATGTCAAAGGACTCATTTTAGGTTAATAAAAACCAAAAACGTACTGAGAATCATAAAATCTCAATGATGAACAGTTATGGTTGTAGTTTGAACTTTTTAAATGGTTTTCTTTCTTTTTTTTTTTCTTTTTTTTTCACCGTTATTAAACATACTTCATGCTTCTTGTACAAAAGTGTAATACGTACTATTTTTGTTGTAAACTTCTTCCGTGGGTGAAAGAATTTTGCTCTGACTTTGTACGTACTAATTGCTGAATAACTGTGAGCTAGTCAATGATGAATAAAGCAGTAATAATTGGGTTCTCAAGCTGTATAGCTAAAAGCCTTACATATGAACCTAAAAGAAATTAGCACCAATTAAATGTGTAGACATAATAGCACAATAATACATTGTACTAATTACGTGGGTGTATAATGCAATCCGGCTCAATTCGCTGCGTGATTTGCTTCTCGATAGATATGTTGGATACTCCAGTTTTGAAACCGAGCGAGAAGAGAATGAACGTCTTTAATAACATGTTCGATCTGACAAGGGATTTTCCAAATGCCTTTTATAGCGTTGATGACTAGCTTAGCAAATTATCACCTTCAATTTGAATATTCTAAATGCCACGTTGAAGAGATAGCATGTAATCCTGTATGAAGAGCTATAACTTCAGCTATGAAAGCTTTGGTATTGCCGAGGTTGAAGGTAGATGTCTTGATGAGTGCTCCACTGCTATCTCTGATGATGACTCCTACTGTTGCTGAATTGTTGCGAATTAACCCATCGAAGTTGAGTTTGAAGAAGGTGATGGAAGGAGTCTTCCATGATACAAGGATGGAAGATGGAGAGAATGGATGAGAAGAATAGATGTGGGATCTCGGAATAGGAGATCCCTTAGAGGAAAAGGTATCTAATAGGCTTCTTTGGTGCCACTCATTGAAAGCAAATTGTGCACAATAGTAGAATCTAAACATGTCAACGGTCTCATTGCGGAAGATAATAGCATTCCGCTCTTTCCAAATACTCTAGATGAGGGAAATAAATTTCCTTAAAGAGTTAGGGTGTTTTCTAAAAAACAAAAAAAAAATTATGTTAAACTTACAAAGGAGATTGTACAATCTAACCATTTTTTTATTAAAGGAAGAGTCCACATTTTTGTAGTTCTCGAGCAATTGAGAAAAAGATGATCTAGCGATTCATTTTGATGATTGCAAATTGGGCAAATGATAAGCAGGATAATGTTCATTTTATGAAAAGTATCTCGGACACCCAAACTATTATGGAATATATATTTGCCCCATAAGAAAATCTAGATTTTCGGGGGAATATCAATTTTCCAAATCCATTGGTGGGGCCAATTATTATTTTCAGGAACGAGATTATATTATGAGCTAACTAAGTGGCTGACTTGAGTGTGAAACTTCCCTGCGTATATGTAAATGAAAGAGATGATAGTTAGTTAATCCTTGTATGTATATAAATGTCAGATATTTTATTAGGTGGGGAAGTATAGCTAGATATACTAGATACAAGTATGATTGACTCTTGTCTTTATCACTAGTCTTACGAATTATCTTTGTGTAGGTATATATATATATATACGGATCTGGCTAAGGAACTGGGGCATTAGTTAAAAACTTAAAATATTTCTTAAAGTAGTATTGTATTAATTTATAAATGCATGATGTCATAATTACACGTCATTCGCTGTAATTAATGTTCAAATTTATTCAATATTTATACTTTTAGTTGTTTTATCCAACACTGTTGGGATGTTTGTTAGCTTTTGGCGGTAAATATATTATATCTCATTTTATAATAATGCAAATACTCCACCATGTAAACTGAAGAAAAAGCAATACAATGGTCAATGGATGGAAGATCCACTAATGAAAACTGAAAATCCACATTGGAATAAGGATAATATAAAGGCATGAAACAAAGGCGTGGAAATGGATAGTAAACAAATTAAGCATGACGCACATTACCACATAAAAAATGAAAAAAATAGTAGAAAGATTATTATTGCTATAATTATGTTACAAAAAAGCAGAACTCTTAGAAGCAACTTTTATATCTTTATATTGTAAGATTGGACATAATGCTGAATCCTTCAGAAGATCCTGCCTACGCCCTAATTAACGGGAAATTTTATACTAATCTAGCTACTTGCTTGCTGCTGCTGCTATTGCTGCTGCACTTGCATGTTTCTTTTTGTGATTCAACAATCAACTTGCAATCTTGCATGCTTCATTTCATCTAGGATACGTCAATCAATTGGACTACTAAATTAAAGTCGTCTTCCTCATATAATACAGTATGTGTTTTTTTTAATCATATTTGTTTCTATCATATATAGTGTTATAAGTCCTTTTCATTCAATAAGAAATCCATGCTTTATCCTTATGGCATTTGTCATAGTGTTTCATATGAGGGATAAAGATTGATAGGAATGGGCATGGTGATAAATTAAAATAATGTTAATTAATTGATGGCATATAATATGCATTATAAAGCCCAACGTTACAATTGATAAATAACGGAGTAAGTATAAAACTGTATATATCTATGGTAAACTTTGAAAGTTGCAGAGAGAGTTGAACACGAATTGTGCAAGTTGAAAATTGAGCTTTGCAACGTACTAATCTTAAATAGGTTTATTATTATTATTAGGAAAATGCTATATATAGCCCTTAAGGCTACATATAAGCATTAAAAAAACTCATGAAAATTGAAAATCATGACAAAATACACTGATTTACGCGTGTTTTTGTCATGAATTTCT